AAGATGGGTGACCTCTTGGGAAGTCCTCGTGTTGCACCCCTTTTTTACTTATTTTTTTCGCGAATTTTTTCATTTTATGCGGACAACGACGCAAGAGGAGGTTTTCCGATGCGTAGGTCTCGAAAAGTTGGGCGAAATAAAAAAAAAGTTTGCGTCAATCAGACAGCCGAGCGGAAAGTTATGGCCGTCAAACCGCCAACCCCGATCCTACCAGAAGCGGGTTAGTAGGAGATATACAAAGGAGCACGAGAAGTTGACGGGTGCTATCATAGCAGCACTAATGCAACGGTTCCATTAGAACTCCGAAGTTAAACGTGCTTGGGCGAGAATAGTACGAAGATGGGTCACCTCTTGGGAAGTCCTCGTGTTGCACCCCTTTTTTACTTATTTTTTTCGCGAATTTTTTCATTTTAGGCGGGCAGCGATGCAAGAGGAGATTTTCCGCTGCGTAGGTCTCGAAAAGTTGGGCGAAATAAAAAAAAAGTTTGCGTCAATCGGACAGCCGAGAGCAAAGTTATGATCGTCAAAGTGCCAAGCCCGATCCTACCAGAAGCGGGTTAGTAGGAGATATACAAAGGAGCACGAAAAGTTTACGGGTTTGATCATGCCAGCACTAATGCACTGGTTCCCATTAGAACTTCGAAGTTAAACGTGCTTGGGCGAGAGTAGTACTAAGATGGGTGACCTCTTGGGAAGTCCTCGTGTTGCACCGCTATTTTACTTATTTTTTTTCCGCGAATTTTTTCATTTTAGGCAGGCAGGGACGCTAGTGGATGTTTTCCGCTGCGTAGGTCTCGAAAAGTTGTGCGAAGTAAAAAAAAAGTTTGCGTCAATCGGACAGCCGAGCGCAAAGTTATGGCCGTCAAACCGCCAAGCCCTATCCTACCTGAAGCGGGTTAGTAGGAGATATACAAAGGAGCACGAGAAGTTGACGGGTGCGATCATACCAGCACTAATGCACTCGGATCCCATCAAAACTCCGAAGTTAAACTTGCTTGGGGGAGAGTAGTACTAAGATGGGTGACCTCTTGGGAAGTCCTCGTGTTGCACCCCTTTTTTACTTATTTTTTTCGCGAATTTTTTCATTTTAGGCGGGCAACGACGCAAGAGGAGGTTTTCCGCTGCGTAGGTCTCGAAAAGTTGGGCGAAATAAAAAAAAAGTTTGCGTCAATTGGACAGCCGATCGGAAAGTTATGGCCGTCAAACCGCCAACCCCGATCCTACCAGAAGCGGGTTAGTAGGAGATATACAAAGGAGCACGAGAAGTTGACGGGTGCTATCATACCAGCACTTATGCAACGGTTCCATTAGAACTCCGAAGTTAAACGTGGTTGGGCGAGAATAGTACGAAGATGGGTCACCTCTTGGGAAGTCCTCGTGTTGCACCCCTTTTTTACTTATTTTTTTTCGCGAATTTTTTCATTTTAGGCGGGCAGCGACGCAAGAGGAGATTTTCCGCTGCGTAGGTCTCGAAAAGTTGGGCGAAATAAAAAAAAAAGTTTGCCTCAATCGGATAGTCGAGAGCAAAGTTATGGTCGTCAAAGTGCCAAGCCCGATCCTACCAAAAGAGGGTTAGTAGGAGATATACAAAGGAGCGCGAGAAGTTGACGGGTGCGATCATACCAGCACTAATGCACTGGTCCCCATTAGAACTTAGAAGTTAAACGTGCTTGGGCAAGAGTAGTACTAAGATGGGTGACCTCTTGGGAAGTCCTCGTGTTGCACCCCATTTGACTTATTTTTTTCGCGAATTTTTTCATTTTAGTCTGGCAGCGATGCAAGAGGAGGTTTGCTGCTGCGTAGGTCTCGAAAAGTTGTGCGAAATAAAAAAAATTTTGCGTCAATCAAACAACCGAGCGCAAAGTTATGGCCGTCAAACCGCCAAGCCCGATCCTACCAGAAGCGGGTTAGTAGGAGATATACAAAGGAGCACGAGAAGTTGACGGGTGCGATCATACTAGCACTAATGCATCGGATCCCATCAAAACTCCGAAGTTAAACTTGCTTGGGGGAGAGTAGTACAAAGATGGGTGACTTCTTGGGAAGTCCTCGTGTTGCACCCCTTTTTTACTTGTTTCTTTCGCGAATTTTTTCATTTTAGGCGGGCAACGACGCAAGAGGAGGTTTTCCGCTGCGTAGGTCTCGAAAAGTTGGGCGAAATAAAAAAAAGTTTGCGTCAATCGGACAGCCGAGCGCAAAGTTATGGCCGTCAAACCGCCAACCCCGATCCTACCAGAAGCGGGTTAGTAGGAGATATACAAAGGAGCACGAGAAGTTGCGGGTGCTATCATACCAGCACTAATGCACCAGTTCCCATTAGAACTCCGAAGTTAAATGTGCTTGGGTGAGAGTAGTACTAAGATGGGTGTCCTCTTAGGAAGTCCTCGTGTTGCACCCCTTTTTGACTTATTTTTTTCTCGAATTTTTTCATTTTAGGCGGGCAGCGACGCAAGATGAGGTTTGCCGCTGCGTAGGTCTCGAAAAGTTGTGCGAAATAAAAAAAAAGTTGGTGGAAGAGGTTGACCACTTGAAGGTAAGTGTGTCATCATGTCGACACATATCCGGAAGTGGTAGACTGGATGACTCAAGTGAAGGTAGACCATTTGGTGGAAGAGGTCGACCACTTGAAGGTAAGTGTGTCGTCAGGTCGACCCATTTATGAAAGTGGTAGACCGGATAACTCAAGTGGTAGATCATTTAGTGGAAGATGTCGATCATTTTCTTCAAATTATAGTGACTTGCAAGTCACCATACACATACTTTTTTTTATTAAGGATTCTATCCATGTTGGAAGACTAACGAACTTACATCTTAAAATATTCAAAGTACACTTAAAATATGGATAGTTGGATATGCTTATTGATTAAAATATATTAAGTATGAGCCATATAACTGCAACTTGTGTTTAGTTGAAGCCAATCAGGGTGAAGATGGTGAAAGGATAACGAAGCTATTTTTAACTAGAATCAACCAACTGTACGTTATATGATTGAAAGTGCTTTCAAGTGGATCCCAATCTAGAACATTTTGATTTAGTACGTGAAATCAACAATTTGATGATTTGAGGTACAATTTTATTGGCTTAACTTTCAATATTGATTGTTCATTCAAATAAGAGACTCGACCAGTATACTTGTTTTGATATATTCTCGAGAAAATTCATGTAAATAATCACTATTGGACAATACAGGCAGAAAATTATGCATCATAAAAATTAGGGTTAATATTTTCGTATGGCCTGAACTTTGACCAAAATAAACATCCTGACCAATCTTTTCGATCTATAACATCCTGGCCCGAACTATACACCAAAATAAACAATTTGGCCAAACCCGATGGGATTGAAGAAGGAAGGTCGGAAGGTTGGGAAGAAGGCGAGGAGAGGAAAGGAAGGCAGAGGTTAATGGCAAGTGGGAATCGATGGTGATTCGTTAATGGTGATTCAGGTTGGTAATCGATGGCTGTGGCGGCGGCGGCGGGGGGCTCAGAAGATCGCCCGCCGCTGCAGTTTAGTCGGTCAGGTGAGGAGGTTCGACGATGAAGGAAGGAGAAGGGTCATGCGTTTTGGGGAACTTCTTTTTAAATTTTTTTTTCTTCTGCAAAATGAGAAAGGAAATAAATGGAATAGGTGGAATTTTTTTTAATTTAAACTTGCTGACTTGGCGGTGACGTGGCTCGTTGACCGTTAGTCAACGCGTTTGACCGTCCAAGTTAACGGTCAAACATCGAGTTTGGCCAAATTGTTTATTTTGGTGTATAGTTCGGGCCAGGATGTTATAGATCGAAAAGATTGGCCAGGATGATTATTTTGGTCAAAGTTCAGGCCATACGAAAATATTAACCCTAAAAATTAATCGTATAGTCAATGAGCCTCGAACTAATTACAATATTACCTCGGGTTTCCCCTTCAAAGAAATTTTATGAAAAGTGAAGTAGGTAAACCTGGTACGTAAATTACCGGGTAAAGAAAACCCTAGTACGTAGGCAAGCATAAAAAACAAAGTAAAGCGTAGTACGTAGGCGGTAGGTATACATATACTCTCACAAACGAGTGGACTTTGTCTTATAAAATTCCAGTCCCATGTACACAAGAACTAATATATACATATAATGTTTGAAATTTTCTTTTCAGGCTTATCCCAGAAGGCGATGTTGATAGAATTCCATATTGTTATACCATACCATTACCATAACTTCTATAATTTGGTGGACGGAATTGCAACTTTTATAATTAAACACATTAACTATTTTGAATCTTTTAGAAAAAAAACTCACACTACAAGTTTTGGTACATATTTTTTTGAATTCGCGGCTTCCGACACATCTCAAATAATTATGAGCGACACATCTTCATTATACGAGAATGATTTTCTTGTTATAAAGTTATTTATCTTAATTAATAATAAACAATAATAAGTAAAATCAAATAAATATGCTTGCTTTAAAGTAACCTACACAACAACCCAACAATGAAAAAAATATACATAAGCCCATCATTTGAAACTCACCGTTTCAACCCCTTGACCCTTCTTATATCGAGAAGCTTACAGATTAGATGGCTAAGCCTAAAATCAGCAGGCCGGCGGGGACTGGGAAGAGGAAGGAGAGGTGGCGAGTGCGTCGCCGACGACTGGGAAGAGGAAGGGGTAGGGGTGGGCACCGGTTTGGTTTGGTTTGAACCGAACCAAAATAGAGCATACAGGGTCCCCAAAAATGTATATGAGCCAAACCAAAACTGAACCGAAATTTAGTTCAGTTCGATTTACTCGAATCGAGTTAAACATCGATTCAGTTGAGTTTTAACGCACAAACTTGAAGATTTATAAATCAACGCTCTCTCTCTCTCTCTCTCTCTCTCTCTCTCTCCCATATACCCTAAACCTCACCGTCTCCCCATTTCGATCAAATCTATCTCTCTCTCTCTCTCTCTCTCTCTCTCTCTCTCCCCCTCCCCCTTCTACAAACGCACTCGATGCAGAGCAGAAAGGAGCGGTGCTGCGATGGTGGTATCTCCTCCGTTTCCCGATTCAACGGCGAGCAAAAATCAGCGGTGCTGCGGTGTTGGTATCTCCTCTGTTTCGCGACTCTGCGGGGATCTGAAAGCTGCGCTGCTGCGGTGGTATCTCCTCCGTCTTGCGACTCAACGACAACGACGATTAATGCGGAAGTCAGAACACAACGCGGCGACAGGCGGGTACTACGATTGAATGTTAGAGGTCAGTATGAGTGTAGACCCAAGCATGCATGTCATTTTTCTGTTTGATTTTCACCTTCGAGTTTCAGTAGCATCGTGTCTCTTTTCGATTTTAGAGAAGAAAGCTTTGATTTTCAATATTGATTTTGATGCATTTGGGGTTTTATGTTTGGATTTGGCTTTCTGGTCTCTGGGAGGAGAAGTGATCGGAGAGAGGGGAAATGGCATCGACCCGTACTATAGAAGTTTGCGGCAATGCCAAGAGATGATAGGAGGATCCAGCGAACGACGGTGATGCTTGATGGTCATTGGAGGCTAGGTGAAGTATTTGGTCTTCTTTGTTAGGGTTAGGTTAGCAGTAGGTATGGAAGAGTTGTGGGCTTGAGGGATTTATTTTTGGGCTCTGTTTGATTTGGTTTGTGAGGGATTTATTTTTCCGGTTATGTTTGATTTGGGTTGTGAGAGAATTGGGCTTTGTGAGAGGTTGACTAGTTAGTTGGGTTGTAGGAATGGGTTAAATTTTTGTTCGATTGATCGGTTTGGTTGATCGGAATTTGGTTTCGGTCTGTATACCCTTGGTCCCCAAAATAAAGGCTTTTGGCTTCCGAATTCCGAACAGAACAAAACTAATTCGGTTTTGGTTTGGTTTGGTTCGGGTTTACCGAACCAGATGCCCAACCCTAAGAAGGGGAGGCGAAGTCGCAGAGGGAGGAAGGATAGGGGAGGTGGCTCACAGAGCGACAGACAGGGTACAAGGAGGTACTCTTACAATCATCCAAGTGAAAGGGAACTATTTCATAGAGGAGAGATAATATAATAAACAATTCTATATCTTCAATCTTCATGTCTAGCCTTGTTCCTCGAGCTTCGATGGTGATGCAAACCTCCAATTTCATTACAAGATTGCTCGATTGCTCTTTGGAATGCCTTGATGTCACGAATTTGACTTTGGGGGTTCAAACCGTGACTTTGGAAAGTTTTTTTTTTTGCCTCCCTTGCCTCAATGTCACAACCTAGGTGTGAAAGTCACGACCATGGCCTTGACTTTGGCCCTCTGACCGTGACTTGGGAAATGGTTATGCCTTTTTTGCTCAATCTCACTGCCTAGTTTTCAAAGTGCCTCTCATGCCTGTAACTTTTACACTCAGGTCGTGACTTGGACACAACATCTAGTTTTTGGCTCGTTTTGACTTCTAAATGTCGTGAAACTTGCCCCTAATCTTCCTCCATGTATTAGGACCTAAAATATGACAAAAAACATAATCTAGCGTAAAATAGACTGGATAACAAGTAATTCAAATCCAATTAGTCAACAAATGAGGGTCAATATATGTATAATTACGCCACCATCATTGTTGTTGTTGAGGTCGCCTTCGTTGGAGTTCCACAAGAAGAGCGATCTCTCTCCCTCTCTCTCAGCAAGATATGTTTTTCTTTATTCTGGTAGTGATTTTATGAAATAGGGTACTAATATTTTTTTCGTCGTTCTTGTGCTAGTGCCTGATTTGGGGATATTGGGATTGTTTTCGCTCTTGTGGTACTAGTATGGGTGGACATGGAGTATTTTTGTTTTCCAATCTCACACACACTTTCTACCAAACCCAGATTTGGGTTCCGGTGGTAATTTTCTCATGTTGGTACTGATTCTGTTTCTCTCAAATTCAGCGGTAGGTAAGTTGACTACTTTATAGTGGTACTTAAGGTCACAACTAAGGACAAACTAGGTATTTATTAATAAATATTTTAATAAATTACATTTTTGGAAACTATAAATACATATTAATTAACATTTTCTCTCCCTCCCTCTCTCACTTCAATAGTTCTCCGCTCACTTTTCTACTTCTTCGACCACCTCTCCCTTATTCTCTCCGTTCAGAAGAATCAATACCAGTTTTGATGAACCAATATCACTACAAAAATAAAACAAATCAATACCAGTATGGACAAACTAATACTAGTTTAGACGAACCAATACCACTACAAAAATAAAACAAATCAATACAAGTATAGACAAACCAATACTAGTTCAACGAGACCTAATACCATTTCAAACAAACGAATATCAATTCAACGCGAATCAATACCAGTTCAGATACACCATTGTAATTCAACACGAACCAATAGCAGTTTAGAACAAACCGATACCCGAATACAAAACTCATATATAGTTTTGAAAACAGATCCATTCGAGAAAAAGACAGGGGTAGGGAGTAGAAGAAAGAGAGAGACACGAGAGAGACAATGGTGGTGGGGGAGGAAGATATATTTTTCCGTCCCAAGAAAAGAAGGTTGAGCTTGGAGTTGTACAACAACTTAATAAAACATTATCGAAATCAGCAGTGACACGAGCACATATTCTGTACCCGTAGTTATCAAAGTCGCAACTTCAAGAACGAACAGGAAAATGGATATTTAGGGTTTTTGTTTGTTTGGGGATATGATGGAAATGAAAGTGAAATGTCAACACAAATCTGGAGAAGACTCGATCAATATATAAGGTAGAGTCTCGACAACAATCAATGGGAAAACTTGATTGATATAGAGAAAAATTCAAGGCTAAAACTCAAAACCAAGATAAGTGTTTAATATTCTTCAAAGTGTGCTAAAATTCATGTCTTCATCTCTTTATATAGTCTATGGAAAATAAATTAATTAAAAACCTGAAAGGAAACAAAAGTCTAAACAAAAAAAGGGAATTTTAACCCGTTAGGCCAAATTCCACGATCCTTCCTAGAAAGCCACCGTCGGGGATTTTAGAATCCTAACTGTGGATTCATCCTCCTTCAAATCCACGGTCCAAAGCTCAATTCCACGATCGTGGATTTTGATGCCCTGGCCGTGGATTTGTGCTGCTCGCTCTTCTGGCTTCCTCAAGGTGTATCCTTCCTTTTGCTTTGAGTAGAGTGGTTTGGGTAGCCCTGAGGAATCGCATCGGGCCCTCCATGTTGAAAAAGCTTTGCCCTCAAAGCTGGTACCTTTCTTCAAGATACAACATCAATAGAATTTCCAAATGGAGTCCTCCTTAGCGTCGTCAACATGTTCATTCGAGCAATAAGATGAGTTCCACCTCCGTATTCCAACTTCGAGCCACTTGCACTTCCTTTCTCCTTGGCCCGGTTCATGGCCATCTGTTGGTGGTCTTCTCGGACTTCAGCTGGTGACAATAGATTCAACAGAAACTTCCGATCTCCTTTCTTGAACCTGTAGCTATTGTGACTTCCATCATGAATAACCTCTCGATCATATTGTCATGGATTACCTAATAGGAGATGAGCAGCCTGCATTGGAGCAACATCACACCAAATCTCATCTGTATAATCACCGATACGAAAATAAACCTTGGCCTTCTTGTTGACTTTGATATTCTCAATGACATATGGTTGAGGATGCTTGATGGTGATCAATCCCAGCTTCTTGACTGCATCCATACTAACCACATTGGTGCAGCTACCACCATCAATGACTACAAACGACACCTTCCCATTGGCCAGGCAACGAGAGTGGAAAAGATTATCTATCTGATCCGTCTTTGTGTAAGCTTCAATAGATAAAGTTTGGCAGTTCACTCCCAGAAGTTTACCTGGTGGAGGTTTATCAGCATTGATGTGCTCATCCACATCATCTTCTTCAGAATCAGCATCAAAGCCGAATCCATTCCCCATGGGCTTCTCTTCATACTCCTTAGAAAAGTATTCTCCATCTTGCAAAACCAGAGTCTTCTTGTTGGCGCAATGGTTGGCCTTATGAACTCATCCAAAGCACTTGAAGCATTGGATGCTTCTAGATTAGCCTTCATTCCTGGCTTGGGTAACTGGGACAGTGTTCCTAACAGCTGGCTTGTCCCCTTCGTGCTTAGGATGATTCAGGTCCACCTCAGGAATGATCTCTGCAACAGGTTTTGGCAAAGGTGGATACCTCCTTCCCAAACTCACCTTCAGCTGCCTCTCCACCTTCATGGATAAATGCACCACTTCCTCCAACTCTACAATATGACGAAGCTCTACTTCATTTTTGATTTCCCTGTTAAGCCCATTTAAAAAGAGAGCAATTGTAGCTTCCTTGTCCTCTCTCACATTTGCTCTCATCATGAGCAGTTCCAGCTCCTTGAAATATTCATCAACCAATGGTGCTCCTTGCCGAATTCCCTGCAAGACATCATGAAGATCCCTCTGATAGAAAGGAGGCATAAACCGATCACACATCAAGCCTTAGAGTTCTTCCCAAGTAGAAACTTTAGGCTAATGATTCTTTCTTCTACTAAGCTGAATCTTTTTCCCACCAAACTGTTGCATAATTTGTAAACTCATAGGTGGCAACAATAACTTTGTGATGCTATGGGTAAGGATTGCAATGGAAAAACATAATCATCTTCCTCTTCTAGTTGAGGTAAGCTGATGCACTATCAGTGCTTTGAAATGATGGGATTGAGAGCTTAATCCCTCGAATCTGTTCAATGCCATAACCCCCTGCTTCTGGTGGTCTTCCTTCATATTCATGATAATCATTATCATAATCATTAAATGGAGGTCTATGTTGTGGGATTAGCAATTGACGTTGCTCCGTGTATTGGTGCCTCTGCATATGCCAATATGGGGTCTCAGTAAAAGCTTGGTAAATTTGATCTGCTCCGGGACCCTCTAGGTTCGCGGTTCTAGTATGAGCTGCGACATCTGCTGGATTCTCTGTTGGTGGTGGATTACCCCTTGGTTGCGTTCCCAACCTGGTGATTAGGGTATCCAACTGCTAATTCATCTCAACAAGCTGACCTTTGGTAGCATCCTGTTGGGCCTGAAGCCAGGCACCCATCTGCATCACCTGTGTGGTAAGCATCTTCAAAGCTCCTGCTATCTCCTGACTCTGCTCTTCCATTGCTTGTTCTTCGATTGTGGTTTTTATTCAGAGAGCGATTCTTCCTCATATCTGCATTCTTCAATCGAACATTTGGACCTTGTTCGACAAGCAACATGGCCTCTTGCCTTGGATATCGCCATTGTGTTGAACCGGAGCTATGAT